CTCTCCCACTCGGGCCCTGGGGAGAGGAGAGCCCTGGGTGCCGGCAAGCATTTTAGGGCCAAAACGGGGACGACAGGTGCCTCAGGGGGTCTCCCACCTGGCTGACCTGTCCCCGCTCCCTACAAGCCCACCCACCTGCAGCCCCGCACGGCTCCTTCGGCCTCCCCATCAGCCCTCAGAAGCACCTGGCCAGGCTTCCTACCTGCACAGATCCTGGCACCAGAGCCCAGTCCGATCGGCCAGCCCCCACGGCCCCTCTCCAGTGCCTGCTCCCTGGACAGGCTAGCTGGAACAGGCAGTGTGACCGTGAGGATGGACACCTCACCCTTCAGCCAGCCGTCTGGATCCTCTTCGTTCTCTTTCAGATCCTGCCACCTGCCACCTGCTGCCCCCAGGAGCCCACTGCCCGCCCAGCTGGGCACCGGCACGCTCTGGGCCAAGCTCAGGTGGTGCCACGGCGGCGGCTGCTCCCCCTCTGCGGAGCCAGGCTCATCTCTGCCCGCCCGCGGCTGCCGCCTCTCCGAGGAGGATGCTCAGAGCTTTGCAGAGCCCGCCGACTCAGCCACGGAACTTGCCGGCAGAGGCAAATACAAAAGCATTAATCTTCCCTGGGAGGCCCTTTACCCCCCACCGCAGACGAGGAGGAACAACGCAGACCTGTTTCTCTCTGGCTCCTCACAATTAAGACGGTCCCTTCCCAATAAACTGGAGTGCACCCGGGGGGCCCCATTCACAGCACCACCCCCACATTCTGTATCTGGCCCAGCAGCAACTATCAGGGACGCTTCCACTGCAGACGGGGTCACTCCTGCCCTCCCGATCCATCAAGGGGAGGCCCGCTGATTGCCCCATGACAGTGATGAAGCCCCCAGCCCCAGCAGTTACCACGGGCCAGCACTGAGCTGGGGACACTTCACAGACGATGTCTCATTGAACCCCTGAGCAGCTTACTGGAGTGTTCTATTGACAGGTGCAGCGCTTGCTCAGGGCCAGGAGAGGCAGGGCCAGCAGCAGGGTCTGGGTCAGGTCTGTCCCCCACCCTCCCAGGGTGCAGGGCCGTGGTTGTCAGGAAGTGGGCCAGGCTAGATTCACACACCTATAGCAGCAACAGCTCAGCCCACCTGAGCCGAAGACACACCCCACTTTAGCCATCGGGTGTTACAACGTGACACAATGCTAAACCAAAAACACAAACCAACGTCCATGCACTGGGAGAGGCCGAGTGGTGGGGCGGAGAACAGGTGCCAGGAACCTGGGCAGTCTGGGTTCACGTTGGGCTCAGCCACCTCTTGGGGCTGGCTGATGGCCAGCACATGCTCTCCCTATGGGCGGAGTCCAGCTGGATGCCAGGTGCCAGGTGTGTGGCTCCAGGTGGTGCCGCTCACTGAGAGAGGCTGGGGGGCGGGGGGAGGACCATGGTGTGTGTATGGGTGAGGGGGGGTGGGTTGTCCCTGAATTTGGTGATGACCTAGCCGAACTTTAGAGCCACCTGCATTTTAGAGGAGAAATATGGGCAGAGGGACAAAGGTAAGTCAGCTAGGTACCTCGAGAGAGGACAAGCCAGGTGCCGGGAGACCTCAGGGAGGAGAGGCAGGCCCAGCAGTGGGAAGCCCAGAAGCATGGGCAAGGAGGCCCCGAGGGCAGGGAAGGGTGGGGATGGGCCGAAAGGGGTCCCTAGCCACGGGTATGGGGTCTGCAGGAGGCGGGCAGAGCGCAGGACCGAGGGCACTGAGGAGAGGCTGGTGGCTGAGAGGCAGCCAGGCCCCCGCTGGATTGAGCCATCGGCCGTGCAGAGACCGGGAGACTGAGCAGCAGATGAGGGGACCTTGATGTGAGGTTGATGGGTTTGTTTGGTTTTTAAATGGGTTAAACAGGGGAGACTTGAGCTGTTTAAAAAGCTACTGGGGAGGATGCCCTTTGAGAGGGGAGGTGTATGCCCAGGGAGGAAACGAGATGGCAGGGTAAGAGAAGGCTCCAGAGAAGGTGGGAGGGGTCTGGACCAAGCAGAGGGTCGGGGCTGCGGGTGGCAGGAGGGAGAGCGCCTTTATCAGAAAGGGCAGGAGAGGGCGTAGGGGTGGCAATGGGGAGCATCACAGACAGTGAGCCGACGACGTCCAGAGTGACGTCTGGCCCTCTCTCTCCGGCATGTCAAAGACAAGGTCATTGTGGGGGGAGGGGGAGGAGCCCGGGAGAGAGTGGAAGGTCTGGAATAGTCTTTTTGGGGAACAGAGAGAAACACGGTTTGAATTGCCGGGCTTGGGAAAGGTGGGGCCCTGACCGGTGGCGCCCCCCGAAGCTGTTGCCAGGGCGCAGGGCAGACGCCCACAGAGCTGGGTTTGCGGCAAGGGCTGGGCGAGGAGAGGGGTGAAGGAGGGCAAGGGAAGCACCGGGAGACAGGAGGGCGCCAGGTGAGGCGTCACCCTGGGGAGAGGACGGATCATTCGTCCACGTTCAGAGAATATTAGGCACGACTGCCACCCGGGAAAATACTTACAGGACGATCAGCTGACAAAACGTCAACACTCATCATGTGACCGCTCATGCAAATGGGTCAGAAAACGTGAAGACCCCAGTGGATAAACAGGCAAAGCCTACGAAGGTTACTGAAATGCAAGAACTAGGATTGTCTGAAAGCGACGAGAAGAGCCCCATCGGCAGGGGCGGAGGAGGGGCGCAGTAAAGCAGATCCCGGTTCTCACCGTCACACTGCCCAAGACTTCCTCAAGATCACACCCACGGGGGAGATGGGGAATGGCGTATTCCGGTGACAAGTGTAAATTAGGATAATCCTTCTGGAAGGCAATTTAAGAGTGTTAAGGATCTTTAAAAAGTTCATAGCTGTTGGCTCAGCTTCTACCTTTCTGTGAAGTAATCTTAAGGAAAACTAGAGATGCAATTAAAAAAAAGATGTTCATCTCAGTGTTATTTACTGTAGTAAAAAAACGGAAAGCAGTGCTATTCCTAACAACAGATGACCAGCTTAGTAAATTCTGGGATAGTCCTATGATGAAATATGATGCGATACCAAAACACGCTTATGGAAAGATGAACCTTGAAAACACCCTACAAGACAGAAGCCAGACACGGAGGACCACGTATTGCACGATTCCACTCACATGAAATGCTCAGAACAGGGACCAAAAGTCGATTGGTGGTCGCTGAGGCTCTGTGGGAGTCATAGTAAAGGGTATAGTGTCTTCTCGAGGTGAAGACGACGCTCTAAAACGCACAGTGGGGGGAGTTGCACAGCTCTACAAAGATACTAAAAACTGCTGAATCACATACTTTAAATGGGTGAATAGTGTGGTATGTGAACTATATTCCAATAAATCTGTTATAAAAAAGACCTGTAATACAAAAAACAAAAACATGGGACGCTGTTAAACAGGAAATGTGAGTTGAAAAAATCAGGATATGCTGTTGTACGAACGTTTTGATACCAACTATAATAACATGGAGAGGAAAAGACACTGGAAGGAAACCAGCCAAGAAGTTAAGTGAGCTAGGATCCATTATGAGTGCTTTTTCCCCCTTATTTCTGCTTTGCAAACTCTACAACCAATGGGCGTGTAATCGCACCCACCCTCAGAGGCCACTCAGCAGAGGAGGGCAGAGCTCCACGCAGAGCCTGGGACTATCCCCACTGAGGCGCTGGCCTCCCGGGTTTACCGGCGAATGAGGGGAGATGACCAGGAGGGCAGCCTCGGGCAGCACTGACATCTGGGATGGCGTGACCACCCCTTTCCCCTCCCCACTCCCCGCCAGGCCCATGCTGAGGGGTGAGAGAGGGTTGGAAAGAAGGTGGAATTCTGTTCCTGCTGCTCAAACGTCAAGTGTAATTTCAAGAAAAGCAACTCAACGTTCAACGTGCAATTCCACTAAAGCATCCTGAACCTCCATTACGTGCTGGGCACTAGCTGTGGGCACGGGCAGGGCAGGAGTCCTTGGAGATGTGAGGGGAATGGCCGTCCCACGTCCCACCCTCTCCTGGCTGGCCTCCCAGCCTCTGGCCTCCAGACCAGCTTAGCAGCAGGCTGAGGGAGCTCTTTAAAAAATGCAGATCTGACCCAGGCATTCCTTGGCTCAAAAGTCTTTGTCAGGGACGGTGGCCGGGGCCCCGCAGCCTCATCCGCCAACCTATCCTCCCACCCGCAGAGGCTCCATCTGTGACCGCCTCGGAAAGGGCTCCCCTGCCCTTGGCTGGGTCAGGGCCCCCTCCCCATTCCCTGAGGTCCTCTGGTCACCCGTGTCCTCCCGCATGGACCAGGGACAGGCCCGGAGACAGTCCATCCTCCTGCCCTAGCACGAAGACAAGACGGGGCTGCAGAGCGGGTGGAGGGACGGGCTGGGCCCGGGACTCACGTGGTGGGGTTTGATCCTGGCCGCCCCATGGGATTTATCTTATTGAATAAATGTAGAAAAATGCATCATATCTGTTATTTTCACAAAGGGACACACCCATGTAACTACCGCCCAGATCAAGAAAAACACTGTCAGCACCCCACAAGTACCCCTACCCGTAACTGCTGTTGACCTCGCCTGCCAGGTGACCACTCAGCTCCCGGGGGGACACAGTCCTGCCTCCCGGGCTCACTTTAAGTCCTCCAGGCCTCAGTCTCCCCATTTAGCCTCGAAAGTGCTGGATCCTTGAGACCAAGGATCTCAAATCCTTCTCACCTCCCCGACCCTATCAACTTATAAAGGCACAGGAGAGAGAGCGTCACAGGGAAGCCTTCCTAGAGGAGGAGGCACCTACTGGGAGGCCCTGGAAGGTGTCCTCCGGCAGAGCCGGCAGGAAGGGGGTGGTGAAGGCTTGGGGTATGGATTCTTGCACAAACACACATGAACATCGGACACCCTGAGAGGCCCCTTTTGATCCTCACAGTAAACTCCCAGAGGGCACGTAGACCCCCGCACCCGGAGCAGGCCTTAGCTCAGAGAGGGCGATCGGCCACAGGGCCTGCGGGGGCCAGGGCCCACCTCCGGGCTGCCCTGCTCACCTCCAGCACGTGCCCCGTGATGAACTTGTCACAGCCGTCACAGCGGATGCCAAACTCGGTGTGGTAGTCGGCCTCGCAGTAGGGCAGCCCATCCCTGCAACGAGACTGGCGGTCAGGACGGCGGGGGTTCGCCCCGAGGACCCCAAACCCGACAACCCTCGCCCACGAGAGGGACCGGGTAAAAGGGGGACATGTCCACTTGCTCCCACTGCAAATAGCACTACCACAGACCGCGTTCTCGGGCGCTCATGGGTGCCCACACGGCCTCCTGCGTCATCACCCCAGCCCCAGGAGAAACATCACAAAGATCACCCCATTTCACGGGTGGGACACCGCGGCACAGAGGGGGCCCCGCGGGTGAGTGAGGGGCTGGTGGCCGCCTCCAGAGGCCGAGCTGAGGGAATAAAGCCGCGTCTGGGAAATAAAAGACGTGTCCACAGACGTGGCTCTTCCTTCTGGTTCATTCTGTCCCACATTCAACATCTGGGGTGGGAAATGGCCCAGTGGCCCCTCAGGTGGCTTCCTGCTCCTTCCGAAAAGGGCCTGGGGTGCCTTGGAAATACGTGAACTGAAAGAGGTGTGGGACAAAGGTGCCCACGTCGGAGACCAGGGCTGAGGGACGACAGAGGCCGGGGGTAGATGCGGTGGTTGGGACGAGACCTCACTGTCCCCAGGTGTGGCCAGGAGCTTCCTGCTTGTGGGCACACAGGACGGCAGAGGCGTCCGGCTGGGCAGGAAGGAGCAGGAGGGCCCTGCAGTGAGGCTTCCACTCTGCACACGTGTCTACAGCGGGCCTCCACGTGCCGGGCGCTGTCTGTGACACTGGGGAACCAGTGACGTGTGAGACATGGTCGTGGGTGCTGCTCTCAAACATCTGGGCAGCCGTGGGTGCGCTGCTTACACGCTGAGCCCCACCAAGTGAGCTCTGAGGACAACAGCTGTTTGCAGGGTGGCTGACGGCAGACAACACAGGCACACACCTGGAACAGCCTCTGGCATGTGCCGGGAGCACTTTTAAAAGCAACTATAATTATTATTGTGAGGTCAACACAACAGGACAAGTGGCTGTGTGGAAGGGGCAGGAAGGCTCAGAAGTGGTGGCCATGCTCTGCGTGGGGAGGGGCTGGTGGGCAGTGGCGAAGTGAACAGGCTTGCAATCAAATGTCACGCTCCAGCTGTGTGACCCTGGGCAAGTCACTTAACCTCTCTGGTCCTCAGCTTCTCCATCCATAAAATAGGAGAAATAATAGCAAGCTCTAAATAAGAGAAGGCGTGGCTAGCGCCTGGCATACAGCAGGCATTTGCCAATTGGTGCCTGAGGCCATTGTCATTGCTACCAGGGCTGTCCCCTGGCCCCGCCCAGTAGGGGTTGGGTATGGAGGTGACTGGCACACAGGGGCACCTGCTCTCCAGTGCATCTCCCCTCCCCAGCATTGCTGAACTTGCCGTGTTGTCCCCAGTTTGGTTTTGATTTTTACACAGTGCCAACAGAAGGTAAGATGTCTCGAGCTGTCGGGAGACCGGAGCTAATGTCGCCCTCTTTTCCTCAAAGCTCTGGACCTCGTGTAGGTCACACGATGCCTGCAGGAGGAAAGGGCCCGGTGTGGGGTGACATGTGCCCCTCTGCCCACAGCTCACAGCGGGGAAGAAACCCTTCTTTGTTTGACAGGAGAGGAAGACATAAACTGGGCCCCTGGGATCCACTCAAACGCCGCTGACCCAGGGCCTCTATCACTCCCCACAAATGGGTGTACGTGCAGCAAACCCAGGAGGTTCAAAGATAACGTCTCCATGGCAACACCAACGCACGCTCCTCGCCAATTCTGGGACGTTCTGGAGGGCTGCTGAGCACCACGCTCGCAGCGTGGGTGAGCGCCCACGGCCGTGTGAGCAGGCGGTAGTGCTCTGGGGGCAGAGTGTTCATTTTATTGTGAAGTGCTGTGTCCACCGGGCTCCCGAGTGTGAGTCACTCACCCTTCCCTTTACCGTGACAGACGCGACAGTGCCCGGCCCCCACGGCTGGAAGCTCACCCAGCCTGAGCCAGGCTGGACAGAGGCTCACCTTGGTTTGGGGGCGTTTTATTTTGAGATAATTAATTTGTAGAGTCACATGCAGTTGTAAGAAACTACACAGAGAGACCCAGTCTCCCACAATGGTGACACTTTGCAGAATTTAGAGTACAACGCCACCCAGAAAATTGACCTGATTAGGTCCCCCAGTGTGACACGCTCTCATGCAAGTGCGTGTGTCTACGTGTGCGTGCATATATGTGCGTGCACGTATGTATGTATGTGTGCGTGCCTGTATGTGCGCGTGTGTGTACATGCATGTGTATATGTGCGTGTGTGCATACGCGTGTTTGTCCGTGCACATGCTTCTGTTTCACCCTGTGCAGTTCTACTGCAGGACTTCTTTTAACCCAGTCAGTTCCTGTGATGGCTCTGTTCCCGTCGGGGCATCAAGAACCAGCGCAGCCTTTGATGAAAGTTGCCCCAGGAGCCCCCAGCTGGCAGGCAGGAGTCGGCTCGGCACTCAGAGGAACTGCTCATTCCAGCTCACCCTGACTTCTCTCCCCTGCGCCGTCTGGGACTTACCCGTCTCAGTTCCCTGACCTCTGGGGATTAAAATGCACCCCTCTGGCAGTCAGCTGCTCCTGCCCCGGGCCGTGATCCCTGCCTCTCACTGCCTTCTGATAACACTTGCTCCCCACCTCCACCCAAACCAGCCCTCGCCACATCCGACCGCACGTCTGGGGACACTGTCGGCCAGCGGGAGCTGCCCGATGGCCCAGCGCTGCACAGGTCGGAGCGTGGGGCCGTGTTGTCACATCCGTAACAACTGAGGCTGGTCAGCCCTTCTCCTCCTCTGTTGCTGCAGGAGCTGATGTCCCCTTTGCATTCTGCAGGAGATCCAGGTGCCAGCAATGCAGGAGGGTGACACCCAGGGACAGGAGTGGGCAGGTTCCTTACAAAGTCAAAGATGGGCAAGCTAACATCTCTGTTTCAATCAACAAAAATGGAACTGGAGTCTGCAAACCACGTCTGGGAAGCGAGGCTGGTGGGGAGAAGGCACCCAGCTGTGGGGACAAACACGCCAGGGCCGGGGAGGGTTTCCTTGCCCAACTGTGGCACAGGAGTAGCCGGCAGGAGGCACAGCACAGGGCGGACGCAGGAGGAGCAGGCCGCCAGACACCGGGGCCCCCCGGAGCCCGGCCCACTCACTTGCTGATGTACTCTGCGTTCAGCTGTTTCCCGCAAGTCTTGCACTTAAAACAGCCCAAATGCCAGTGCTTGTCCAAGGCCACCAGGGACTGGCCGTTTTTGATTTCTGTGCCACAGCCCCCGCAACCTGGAAGAAAGAACAGGACACATGTCGTCATCGCGGGCGAGAGGAGCCCACCGCGGGGTCTCCAGACACCACAAGACCCCTCGAGAGGCCCAGGGGAGGGGACAGTCCAGCTGGGTGTGCTGCAGGACCCTGTTATGGGACGGCTGGTGTGAGCATGTAGAAAACAAATCATGAAGTGCATTGCTGCATGCATTAAGCACCGACTGCTTGCAGCCTGGGCTGGGAGCTGGGGACACCGGGATGAACGAGATGAAGGAGACGGAGGCCGCGTCTTCCAGAGGATGGAAGCCCGGGCCTGGGCAACAGGTGTGCACTGGAACAAGAGCACCCCGAGGGCAGGGACTGCCCCGAGGAGGGAGGGCCCAGGCAGCAGGGTCCCGTGATGGCAGCAGGTCTGGGTGGGCCCCCCAGGCCTCCTCTGTCGGAAGGTAGACATTGAACCTAACTGTGACCCAACTGATGTGCCCCCTCAAGGAAATGTGCCACATTAGGGAGCTGTGAGCCCCGCCCACCCTGTCCTCTGAGCTCTGGCCTGCCTGGATGCACATCCCAGGACGCCCCCTGCCCCACCTCTCTGGAGCTCCTTCTGTGGCCGTCTGTGCCACGCCCCAGACACAGGGCACTCTGTCCCCCACCCATGTTCCTGCTCCAAGTCTCAGCCCACGTCGCTGCCAGGCCCCAGGCAGCCAGCCTGGGGGATTCTGCCCTCGGCAACCCAACCAGCCAGTCCCCACCGTCTGTCTTCTCACTGCCCCCAGGGGATCAGTGCTCTCCATCCCGTGGCCCCCAGCCTGGTCTGGGCCCCTGCCCGCTCTGCCCCTTCCAGCCATGCCCATCCCTGCTCAAGCCCCCTCACCCTCTAGAGTCCTGGGTCCTTGCCTTCGCCAACAGGCCCCTGGGTCCTAGCACGGCCCTGCTGACCTGGCCACCTCCCAGTCCCTCCAGCCGTGGGCAGACACACTGGGGGCTCCCCCAGTCAGTGCCACAAGGGACTGGGGTAGGCCAGGGGAACCTCGGGGGCAGGGATTGGCTGCGTGACCCGCCTGGAGTGTGTGCGTGAGTGTGTGCATCTGTGTGTGAGTGTGTGCACTTGTGTTTGAGTACGTATATGTGTATCTTGTGTGAGTGTTGTGTGTATGTGCACCTGTATCTTTGTGTGAATATCGTGTCTGTGTGTGCAAAGGAAGGTGTCTGTGTGTGATTGTGTACATGAGTGTTTGTGCATGTGTCTGTGTGTGTGTTTATGAGTGTGTGTGATATGTCTGTGTGTGTATGCATGCATGTGTCTCTGTGTGAATGCATTCCTGTGTATGTCTGCATGTGAGCATGTCTCTGTGTGTATGTCTGTCTGTCTGTGTGAGTACGTCTGTGTGTCTTGTAGGTCTATATGTGTGTGTGTGTGTCCATGTGTGTTGGGGGGCAAGACAAAGACAGGGCCTTGGGGACCCTCCTCAGAGTCCTGATGAATAGGGACGAAGGGGGCGTCTGGCAAACGGCCCGCAGCAGCCCTGAACAACTCGGCAGCTCCCAGGCTCGGCGGAAGGGCTAGAGGCCAAGCAGGGAACCCGCTTCCCAAGATGAAAGACTGTGGCCCAGCCCGACAGGCCTGGCTACAGATCCTGGCCCCACTGCTCGCCGGTCACCCTGATCGAGCTCTTTCCTCTTGAGCCCCGTCTCCTCCCTGCAGGGCGGGTGATCACATAAATGATAAATGGCACACGAAAGACGGCGTCGGGCCGCACACCTCGGCGCTCGGCCCCCCCAGGATGCAGAGCCCGTGCACGGCCCAGCCGGGGGCAGCAGGCTCCACAGACGCCAGGCCCGCACGGGGCTTTGTTCTTCTGCTTGGCAGAGACCAGCACCATATCGTTTTTAAGAATAAAAAATATTTAATGCCCACAACACTGCTGGGCAAGCTCTGGCTTTCCTAAGTTATCACGCGGTTCAAACCCACATGCAACTTGGGGAACGACCCCAAGAACAGGCTCCCACTCCGAGACCCCGGGCCGCGAGGGGGCTTTGCTTCATCTCAGGACCGAGAAACGCTAGGTGAGTGGATGCAGGAACGGGAACCAAGAGAACGCCCCCTCCTCAAGTCCAGGAGCCATCCAGACCCCTCCCCAACCACCCCTCCGGCCCCAGCAGAACAGACACGGCATGACTTGCCCGTTCTGGGGTCCCCTCTCGGCTCTCTCACCACCGCGTGACCGTGGGCACGTTTGGGAAGCTTGAGATCAGTGCCTCTTGACCGAGGGCGATTTTGTTCCCAGAGGACATTTGGCAATTTCAGGACACTTATGAATTGTCACAAGCTGGGGGGGCATGCTCCAGACAGCCAAGGGGTCGAGGCCACAGACGTTGCTCAACATCCTCCAGCACACAGGACGGCCCTCGCAGCAAAGGATCGTCTGGCCCCAAATGTCACAGTGCCGAAGTCCAGAAACCCTGTTCTGAGCCCAAGTTGGCTTCTCTGTAACGGGCAAAGTGAAGGAGCATGCCACACGGGATTGTGCGGAGGACTGGAGGGGGGGCAGGCTGGAGCAGTGGTTAGAAGCATGGACCTTGGAGCCAGGCTGCCTCCATCAGCTGTGTGACCGTGGGCAAGTCAATTCACCTCTCTGTGTCAGGGACACATGTTATAGGGGTAATCATAGTACCAGCCTTGCAGAGTTGTCATGAGGCTAAGGAGAGCTGACATAGCTGCAGGCCCCTGGGCATGAAGGACATGTCTGATAAATGAGTAAACACGCATGAGGAGGAACGTGCTAATCATTACTGCTGTTGTCACGAGAGGAAGACATGCTCAGAGGCCCGGTTCCCCGTGGGAGCCGTCTGGACGTCTCTGCCTCCTGCTGTATCAGCAGCGTGTCCTCAGGGGAGGGTCCAGAGGCTCAGGCGACTGTGCCATCTGCAGCTGCAGGGCACGTGGCCCACACACTGGCCCCCCCTCGTCTCCGTCAATGCGGGGCAGAGTCTCAGGAACAGTGAGCATGAAGGCGGAGGCAAGAGCACCGTGCACAGAGGACGGTTGTCATGGAAACCGCAATCATCCTCTTCTAAACACATCTGGAGCTCAGCATAGCTTCGAAAATGACAGTACGGCATCCTGTGGTGAACCCCGCCCGCGGCAGGTGTCAACAAGCGGACGTCCTGGAGGGAGTGCATCCCCACTGCCCAGGGCAGAGGTCGCTGTGAACGGCCAAAGCTGGCCGTCCGCTCGCTGGTGCACCCTGGGCCTGGCTCTGCCATCACAGCAACGGGACGGGCCTGGGCCTCTTCCCTGGCACAACCCTTCTAGAACTTTCCAAACAGTTTCCTTGTTTCCCCCAAAGTGCTCCCTGTTCTAGCAGACACGGTCATTGGGTCAAGGCCTGGCTTTGCCACTGACTCGTGTGGGACACAGGACGTGCTGGCAGTCTCTCTGAGCCCCAGCTGGGAACTCGGGGTGCAGGGTCAGTCTACCCCCGCCCACGGCCCCCCCAGGTCTAACCGGGGTGGGGGAGCAGAGGAGACCTCTGAGTCGAATCTGAGACTGACCTTTGAAAATGAGGAATCAATTGAGTTCTAAAACTTGCAAATGCCTGAAAAGTTATGGGCTTGGCCTGCGATTTCTCTGAGGAGCCAACTGAGCAAGAAGAGCCGTGAGCAGCCACTGGAGAAGACAAACTCACTCAAGCGCATCCCCAGCACGGGGCTCTGCGCTCAACTGCGACAGAACCCCCGACTGCAGAGCTGGGGGTGGGGTGCTGGGCCGGGGAGGCAGCCAGGAGGGGCGTTGGCTCCTGGGCCCTGGCACCCCCCAGGCAGATGCACCTCCAAGGAGGCCTGTGTGCCCGCTGCTCCCCCAGGGCCCGGCCCCTCCTCATCTCTGCACGTCTTCTCCTCATTTAACCTCACAGCCTCGATGCAGAACGGCTCACCCCACTTCCCAGAAGGGGGTCTGGGGCTCCAGGTCCCCGTCACCCGCCCTGAGCACCCAGGAGGTGCAGCCTCACGTGGGCAGAAGACGCAGAGGCTCCAAGGGCCGCAGCCCAGGTGGTGAAGGCTCATCTCGGACGGAAGGCTGAGGGCCCCGCCCCGTCCTCAGGCACAGCCCCTCGTCTGCAGCCCCTCGGAGTGAGGGCCTTCACATCTGACCCTGGTGGGGCCTCCAGGTCCCGGCTCCGAGTGTGACCCCAGGTTCCAGGTGTGACTCCATCCACGGCCCAGCCGGGCTGGGCCCCAGCAGGCGGAGCACAGACCCAGGATGGGGGGGCGTAGCTAAGCCCAAGAACGGCCCAGGGGCTCCTCAGCCTGGACAGAGCTGCTCCCAGTCCAAGCCCCCATGTTCCCACCTCCTGGCTGCCCCTCCAGGCTGCCACCCACACCCACTGCGGACCCCACGCCCAGTGCCAAGCCCAGAGATGGGAGCAGTTTGCCCGGGGCACACAGGTGGCGAGTGGTGGGGTCCACCCTGGGCAGCTGGGCTCAGAGCCCCCTGATTGGTGCAGGTTGGGCCCCTCTGAGGGCTGCCCCCAGTTCAGGGCTGGAGAACTGGGAGCAGCCCGGGGAAGGGGAGCCTGGACGGGAGCACGGGGGCTCTGGGGGAGGAGACCCTCACCCGGGCAGTGGGGGAGGTGACCCAGGGCAGGAACAGCTGCGGAAGGCTCGGGGGCGACGGGAGGCGCTGGCCCCCCAGAAGGAGTGGTGCGTTCCTCCCAGGAGAAGGCGTGGGCACCGGGCTCCAAGCACTTATCCCGTTACTAAGCAACAGGCTCAGGGCCGGAGAGCGGAAGAGGAAGCTCAGGGCCAGAGAGCGGAAGAGGAAGCTCGGGGCCTCAAGCCTGACTCCTGCCGACACAGGCGGCCACTTGCCATGTCCCCAGGGAAGGGCAGCCCACAAAGGCAGCCATCTGCAGCTTTCCACCCCACCGCAGAAGGCTGCATGCCCCTCTCAGCCCCCACAACCCTGCCAGGCAGACCATTCCTGACTGACCTAGTGTTCCCGACCAACCTTGGCACCACCTCCCTCAACAGCCATCTATGGCTCCTCCTTGCCTCCAGGACGCAGCCGGAACTCCTGGGCATGGCTTTGCCTCTGGTTTCAGTGTCTCCCGCTTCATTCCTGTTCCCTGCCCCACACAGCAGCCCCCTTGTCTGCCCCTAGCACAGTCCACACGTGTCCAGCCTTTGCTCCCTGTTCTTGTCTGCGGTGCTGTCCCTCCAATGCCCACCTACTGAAACCTGAGTTGCAAGTTCCAGAACAAAGGCCACCTCCTCCACAAGCCTGTGGTCACAGCAGGGTGAGCGCCCCTGCTTTGGAGTTTACAGGCCTCGGCTCAGGCCTCAGCCGCACCACTCCCTAGCTGGACACTGGGCACCCGGCACATCCCCACTCCCCGCCAGGCTCGGGCACTTCTGCATCTGCACAAGGAGAGAGGGACTCCTGCCCGCCGGGGCTGCTCTGGGGACAAAAGGAGGCATGAGATGGGAAGACTCTGCAGATATCCGCACAGCAGCCGAGAGCTGGTGACGAATGTTCAACACTTGCTAGGCACAAAAAAGGTTCTAAGCTGGGGATTCTCACCATGTACTGGGACAAGGGGTAGGTTATATTATTAGACCATCTGGTGGGTAAGGGGACCATTTGTTCTTTGAAAATGCAAATTTGATATTTTAAAATAAATTTACATTTGGAAAGGGTAGAGCCTTTCTGCCCATGACATTTTTAAAAATCTCAGGGGCAGGCCCCGTGGCTTAGTGGTTGAGTGCACACGCTCCGCTACTGGTGGCCCAGGTTCGGATCCCAGGCGTGCACGAATGCACTGCTTGTCCTGTCATGCTGAGGCCACGTCCCACATACAGCAACTAGAGGGATGTGCAACTGTGACATACAACTATCTACTGGGGCTTTGGGAAGAAAAAGGGAAAAAAAGAAGGAGGATTGGCATGGATGTTAGCTCAGGGCTAATCTTCCTCACAAGAAAAAAAAAAAAGTCTCAATGAGTCTGTGAATGGGCATATTTCCCTTTTTACTCTGGCTGCCAGGGAGCTCTGGACAAGCTGCTCAAATTCATCCCCTCACTTTTTTAGTTTGCTGTAGAATTTTTGATTAAGTATTTCAGATTTAATTATAATAGTACTTACTGTTTGTGAAGCAAATTCTCAAAAATTCAATCAATTCAGATCTCAGCAGGAGAGAAATGTTTGAATGAAGGACTCTCCTAGCAAGCCCCAAAGTAAGAGCCTCAGCAACAGCTGCTGCCAGCATGCCTCCCCGAGGGATGAAGACTTCACTTCATTTCACAGAGTAAACTTATTACCAGCCCCCAGGCCAACACTGAACTCCTGGGAGGCTGGAGGTGCGCCCTCCTCTGTAGAGACTTCCAATACAGCAGACAAGTGGGCACGGAGGGTGGGCTCTGAAAACTCCGCTCCTGCAGCGGGATCCTGGCGGCAGCCAGCTCCTGGAGCACCAGGCTCCTCGCCCCAGGCCCTGCTCCCGTCTCCGGCCCTGGAAGAGCCGCCCCCTGGCAAGGCCGGCCCTGCCCGGTCCCGCCTCGCTCCACTCTGCCCTGCACCCACAGGCTGGTGACACTCCAGCTGGCACTTGCTCTTTCACAGTAACGATCTCCCACTTCTTCGTCCACGAAGCATGTACTGAGCACCCACTGCATACACACCTGGCCTAGCTCCTGGGGGTGGAGCAGTTAACCGAGCGGCCCTGACCGCAGGAGCCCAGAGCTCAGTGCTCTCCTGTGGCTCTCCCACAGGGCTGCTGGCTGGTCTGGAATGCACGGGGGAGCTGAGTGTGTGCTGGAGGGAGAGGACCACGAGGCCACCAGGCTTCCTGGAGGCGGTCGGGCAGAGCGGGACCCAAAGCAGGAGCGGGAGTGGGCTGTGAGAGCAAGCGTGGCACCCGGGGGTGGGGGCACAGCCCGTGCAAAGGCTCAGCGGCACGAGCACCCATGACTCCTGGTCCTGCTTCCCTCCGTTATGTTTGTCCAGTTATTTTTTCCGGCCGCTTCTGCGTCAGGTCGGAGTGTGGTCAGGCCCCTCCCCGGGCACTGCGGAACCCCCACCACACCGCTCGGCGCCCACTTACTCCAGAGGCCCTGGGACGGGTGCGCGCTGCTGCTCCCCGACGCGGGCAGGGAGCACTTCTGGCACACGCATTCCTTCCCGTTGAAGGTCACTCGGTCCCCGGGGGGGAAGGGCAACCTGAAACAAGAGAGCACATCACCACCTGCCGGCTCTTCCCTGGGGCGAGGGGGGCCCCACCACCATACCACGCCACCGCCTCCCCTGGGGCCTCGTGGAGAGGGCGCCGCAGGCCGAGGATGCAGGGCCTCTCCACCCAGGGCTGCCGTGTCCCTGCTGTGCGACCTGGGGCGGGGCACGACATCTGAGCCTCAGTTTCCTCTTCTGCACCAGCACTGAACCACAGTGTTTAAGGCTGTGGTGAGGAGCAGGGAGGGCCGCCCAGAGCCTGGCACACGGCAATCAACACGCAGTCGTAACCACTGGCCTCCGCCCTTCGACCCTGCCTCCTCTGAGCGCCCAGGATGCTTTGTCCATATCAGGTCAATAACACTGGGAACGGCCACTGTTCGTTGACCACCTACTATGTGCCAGATGCCGGGTACTACGATAGATACCTTATATTTGTACCTCATTTCATAACTTTAGGATGTTAGTCCAAGTTAGTATTCGCTTCATTTTTCTCTATAGATGAGAAAACTGAGGTCCAGAGAGAACACTGAACTTTTCCAAAGACACACAGCCAGTGCCATCAGAACCAGAGTCACACCATGACCTGTCTGGCTCCAAAGCGCAATGATTCACCTCCTTGGGCCTCCAAGAAGGCAGTGCCACTAAAAGCATGCCGTGTAGACACCGAGGTACTGTATGGTGGACCTCGTCTTTATTTAAAAGTTCAGCATTTTGTTTATCATGAAATTTTTTTGCATTAATTTCTTTTTTTAAATATCACATTAAAATACCATTTACCTTGACTGCTGAGTTTTTGGCACCCCTCAAATTCTGCATCCAGAGCGAGTGCCTCCCTCACGGCACCCTCATCCCCAGCTCTGGCGCGGGTAAGGTTATGGCCCTGGGGCCACCGGAGCAAGGCTGGCTGGGGGCGGTGGAGAGGCGGCCCACCCCCGGGCAGCCCCAAAGACTTCTCCTTTGGTGTCTGAAATGTAGGAGGTGGCTGCTGTCTGGCAAGCTAGGGCCAGGTCACCTGTGGACAGGGGCTGGAAGCCTGGCCTGAGGGTCCTGCCCATGTCTGTCCCCACCACCTGCTGCCCCTGAGCTCCTGGCCACCACTGGGCCACTTCCTTCCCCAGCTCAGCCTGGCCAGAGAACCTGTGCTCTGTGGGCAATACCCTGTGGAATGATCTGGACCAGGACACGCCTTTTCCTCTGGCTTAAGCCTTTGTGGTCTCCCCTCTGCCTTCTTCAGGGCTGGACAACACGTGGCCCACCCCAGGCTCCCCATAAGTAATTGCTAAATGCACGAATGAGTGGGAGAGTGAACAAGCGAAGGCCCCCAGGAGGCCTAGCTCACAGCCCTCTCCTGCCTCCTCCCCACGGGCCTGCCCTGGCCACACCCGCTCCAGTCCAGCCCGACTCCGCAGCCAGAGCAGCTCTCCTATCCACACGTCTGCTGTGCCTGCGCCCGGAGAGCCCTGCACTGCCCCCCGCTATGTGGGGCCGGCATTCAGGGCCAAGGTTCATTCATCAGGTGTGTCCTCAGGCCCCCATCCGGCCAGCATCTGCTCTTGGGGACCAAGGACAAATACAGGCTGAGCTGGCCCACCTCCCCGGACTCGCGAGACAGGCCACAGCTGGCTGCCCTGGAGCCTTCGCAGCTGTCTGACACCTTGGCTGTGTCATCTGTTAGTGCTGTGGTCTGCCTCCGTCCATCTTGGTGTCTTGCAGCTGCCCTGGTGGGGGGGGAGCTTCAGACAGAGTGGGAGTCCGTCACCCTCCCTGGATGTGCTCTGAGCAAATCTCTGGCTGTGTTATGCAGAGCAAGTTACTGAACCTCTCTGAGTTCCTGTTTCTCACCTGTAAAACGGGACTGATAACACTTGTGTCACGGGGTTGTTATTCATCCATCCATCCATCCACCTGTCCATCCATCCACCTGTCCATCCATGTACCTGTCCACCCATCCATCTGTCCATCCATCCACCTGTCCACCCATCCATCTGTCCATCCGTCCATCCGTGGGACATACTGCATGGAAGGCTCTAGCATACTGCCTGGGACCCATGAGGGGCTGAACAAATGGTGGCTATTATTCTATGAAATCAACCTCATTGAAGTATATTTTGACAAATGTACACAATCATGTAACCAACACCACAGTCAAGATACGGGACATTCTGTCCACTGCAAAAAGTCCCCTGTGACCGTCTACGATCACCCCCCACACCACCACCCCAGCCCCAGGCAGCCATGATCGCTGTTCTGTCACCGTGGATTAGCTTTGATTTTCTGGAACTGCATATAAGTGGAATCATACGGTACGTGGGCTTTGATGTCCCGTTCAGCACCACGTTTTTGAAGTTCATTCACACTGTTGCACATAGCAATAGTTTGTTTCTTTTATTGCCGAGTAGTGTTCCATCACGGGATGAGCCAACACGTGTTCCATTCACTGCTGAAGGACATTTGGGTTCTTCCCAGTTTGGGACGGTTACAAACACAGCTGCTAAGCACACCTGCTGACGAGTCTCCGTGTGGACATGACCTTTCATTTCTCTTGGGTAAAAACCTAGGAGAGGAATGACTGGGTCATATGCTGATGGGATGTTTATGCCAAACTGGTTTCCGTGGAGGCTGTACCACCTTGCATTTCCACCAGCAACGTGGGAGAGTTCCTTTTGCTTCACGTCCTCACCAGCACTTGACATTATCCATTGTTTCAGTTTTAGGCATTCTAGTGGATGTACTTCACAGAATTTTATCGTAGTTTTACTTTGCATTCCCTTGATGACTTATGATGTTAGGTATTGTCTCCTGTGTTCATTGGTCATTCATATATATGCTTTCGTGGAGTATCTGTTAAACTCTTCTGCCCATTTTTAATAAGGTGTTCTTTTTGTCATTATTATTAAGTTGTAGAAGTTCTTTATATATTTTGGAGACAAGGCCTTCATCAGATATCTATTATCTATCAGCTGACAGCTTGTTTTTGCACTATCTTGATGTCTTTTGACATTGTTTTTCTTCAGCTTGCAAAATTTCTTTTAATTTTATTGTAGTACAGGTCTGCTGGCAACAAATTCTTTTAGCTTTTGTGTGTCTACAGAAGTCTTTATTTTGCCTTTTTTTGTGATGGCTTTATTGACATTATTTTATTCACATACTCTATAACATTCATATGCCATTCAATGTGTACAATTCAATGGTTTTTAGTTTATTCAGTGGTGCAACCATTCTCACAATCAATTTGAGTAAACTTTTCATCACCTCAAAAAGAAATGTCATACTCTTCAGCAGTCTTGCCTTCACTTTTCGAAGGTTTTTTGGTTTTGGCTTGGTATAGAATTGTTTGATAGATTTTTTTTCAGCTCTTTACAAATACCCTTCTATTGTCTTCCGGCATGCATAGTTTCAGACGAGAAGTCTGCAAGCATTCTTTTGTCACATTGAACATAATGTGTGTTTTTCCCTCTTGCTGCTTTTAAGATTTTCTTATTACTGTTTCTCAGAAATGTGATAATGATGGACTTGGTAGGTTTTTGTTGTGTTTATTCTGCTTGGGGTTCATTGAGGTTCCTGAATCCATGGATTTATAGTTTTCATTGAATTTGGACATTTTTCAGCCATTATTTCTTCACGTTTCTTCTGTCTTCTCTCATCCCCTTGGTCTCCCCCTCCCAACCTGGACCAATGGACAGACAGATCTATATCCACAGATCCCTGAGTCTCTTCTCATGTTTTTCAGTCTTTTCCCCTCTCTTTGTTTAGTTTGCATAGTTTCTATTGTTATGTCTTCAAGTTCACCCACCTTTTCCTCTGCAATCTCTAATCCACTGCTAATTCCTTTCAGGGAATTCTTCATTCAGAAACTGTGATTTTCATTTGTAGACATTCCATTTGTTTTCTCTTTATGTCTTCCGTCACGCTCCTACTTACGTTCACATTTCCCTGTAAACAGAGTCACAACAGCTGCTGTAAAGTCATTGTCCGCTAGCTTCACCGTTGCTCTCACTTCTGGGTCTATTGCTATTGGCTGACTTTTCTTCTGGCTTTGGGTCACATTTTCCAGCTTCTTCTTATGATCAGTAACATTCAATGGGACGTTGGTCATTGTCGATTTTAGGTTGCTGAGTGCTGGAGTTTCTTACCTTCCTGTAAAGAGTGCTGGACTTCGCTATGGCAGGCGTGAGCTCATCTGCGGGTCAGCGTGACCTGGTCGAGCCTTGTCCTTGTACTTCCGTAGAGAAGGTTTACAGTAGCCTTCACTCTAGCGCTAGTTTAGTCCCACTAATAAGGCGTGGCCCTCTTGGTGCCCCTGCATGCCTGGGTGTTCAACAAGCACTCTCACTTGGCAGAACTCGAATGTCTCCCAGCCCTGGGAACTGCTTAGCTTACAGCAACCTGGCCATTTCTGTCCCATCTTGTGAAATTTCCTCTATGTCTACATGGCGTCGTGTTTAGTCAAAGACTCTGCACAGCTCTCTGGAGCTCTTGTTCTGCATAGCTCTCTCCCCTCTGGTACGCACTTCTGACTCTCCGATCACATCCCCTAACTCAGCGAGAATGCCATGCTCTGCTGGGTTCCCCTCCTTGGACTGTGGCTCAAGAAGTGCCTCCAGGCAGAAAGCTGGGCAGTGGGAGGGCTCACTTCTTCCTTCTCTCAGTCTTGAGCTGCCTGGGCCCCAATGTCTGAAAACAGGTGTTTCGTCTATTTTGCCAAGTTTTCTGGTTGTTTATAGTGGGTGGATGAGTCCAGTCCCAGTCACTCCAGCACGACAGAGCTGTTTGCATTATTTTTAAAATAGCAGATCATCCAGAGGTAATCTTTCAAACCCACTGTGATTATGTCAACCCTCGTCTCTAAGAGACGTGCACAGAAATCAAACATCCAGATAGTCCTTGGGGGAACCTTGACCCACGCACTCCACAATAACACACGGTGACTCTTTTGTCAGCAATGTTCCTTGTCATTGTTCCTCCCTCTCTCCGCATCCCCCTGACAAGCGCTCCCATTTCCGTCTAGCGCACATGCCACAGCTACAGACAAGACGCTGAGAACAACACTCAAAAAGTTCCCTTTAAACTGGGTGTGGTGAGACAGAACAGAGCAGCAAATAAACTCTGGGGTTTTTATTCTTTGTTTTCTAGAAATGGAACATTCCCCCTGGGAGCGATGTGTCTGGGGCTGTGGAGGGAGGTGGGGAGGATGCCCCCATGGGAAGGCTGCCTGCTGGCCCCCTTGCTAAGCCCCTAGGGGTGCAAGGCAGAGAGGGGAGCTGGGTTTGGCCCTGCTGCAGGGGGCAGGATCTCAGTCTACCTCCAGTGATCATTCGCCGCACACCTGCTCTGGGCAGCCACCGGGGACCAGAGAGGAACCAGACCAGACCCTGGGTGCATGGCGCCACATCAGGCAGCTCCAGGGGTGTGTTGCTGGGGAGGTGTTGTGTGGCCCAGGAGGGCATCAGGACCGGACACACACAGCGGGGCCACGAGGAGGGGGAGGCAGGGAGCTGCTGTGCCGGTGGGAAAGGCACATCTTGTCCTGCAGTGTCTCTAGATGCTGAGACCTGTAGGGTCTAAGCTAAGGCACCTCCAAGTCACCAGTGCCAGCCCGGGGCCTGGCATACATAGGCGCTTAGAAAAGCCTGGTCAAATGGATGAATGAATGAACTGTAACAGACTGTGAAGCTCCTCTCAGCCAGGCTGCAGAGCCTGGACTTTCTCTCGGAGGCCACGAGTGCAGTGTCGGGGAGTGACAGGGAGAGGGGAGGTGGGGACCCCAGTGTGGAGGCCGTGGTGGGACCCCAGGCAGGCGAGTTTTGAGGCCTGAGTGGGGGCAATGGCTGGGCATATTTGGGGAAGGGAGGGACCTTGTAAGACACCTGTGCTTGGGGCTCATGCACCTGGTGGGTTGGGTGGTGGTGCCATCCACAGATCGGGGACACGGGGAGTGAGAGGCAGCGTGTGCAGGTGGGACATGCCCCGACAGCCGACGAGCGGCAGTGGGTAGGCAAGGAGGGGATGAAGCGTGGACACTGAGGGCGGTAATATGAGAGAAGAAACCTGTGGAGGATGCAGGCAAGGAGAGGAGCTGGCCAAGGGGGCGAGGAGGGGACGGGGAGAGAGCTCCTTCCCAGGAGCCAAAGCAGGCCATGTGCCGGCAGCCTCAGGACCTGCTGGCCTCTGTGCCCCCAAGGAAAGAGGGCTCGGCCCTGCGCTGCAGGAGGGGTGGAGGCCGGCAGTTCTGGGGCCGGACAAAGGCGTGCAGCTGCCCAGTGTCCACCTGCCATCCCTTGGCTGGGCCCCGCTTCCCCTCTCTGGCTGTGACCCAGCGGGATGAAGGACGGAAGGAAGGAAGGAAGACAGCAGGAAGGAAGACAGAAGGATGGAAAGAAGGAAAGAGGAAGGAAGGAGGGAGGAAGGAAGGAGGAAGGAAGGAAGGGAGGTAGGAAGGAAGGGAGGGATGGAGGAAGGAAGGAGGAAGGAAAGAGG